TAACATTAAAACCAATGAAATGATTACAAAGATTGTTGAAAATGGCCCCCTTCACTTAGTATGCATGCTTCCGCCCTCCTTCTCATGGAATTGCGCATTCGTTGAAATATGAAATATCCCTTGGAGTGTTTTTTATTCTATCACAAGCTGCAACTATTCTTTCTCTTAATTCCTTTACAGTGTTAATGGGACTTGTGTACACTAGTGTCTTAAGATAGCCCACCAAAAAGAAATCTAAACTGTTGAGGTCTGGGGCCATTCTTGGGACCCACCGCGGCGAATCCAACGATTTGGATAAACAGTTTGTAAATAATTACGGACCGCTACAGTGAAACGCGCTGGTGCACCATCATGCATGTACCACATATTGTTTCTTATTACTAATGGAAAATCATCAAGCAGCAAAGGCAACTGTTGTTGAAGAAAATTGAGTTAAGTTTGTCCATCAAGTCGTCCCGGCAAGAAGAATGGGTCAATAATGGAAATGGGTTTCGGTTACGGCTTAAGGATCTTCTGCCTCCCACAAATGATTCTTGTGAAAATTCTGAATGATATTTAGAGAAAAATTAGCTTCGTCCGTGAACAAAACCATTGATTCAAATTGCGGATTTTGTGTAATTTTTTGAAGATACCACTGACAAGAGGTCAGACGCCTTTGAAAATCAATATGAAGTAATGCCTGTACTCTTAAAATATGATAAGGATATAACAAAAAATCCACTAAAATTCTTCAAACAATTTGATAGCAAATGTTTAAGTGTATAGCGATCTTCCTCGTACTCGTTCCAGGATGTTCTTCGACGTCGTGCAGCACTGCTTCCTCAATTTCAGGTGTTCTCACACTTAGAGGTCTATCTTCCGATGTTCCTTTTCAGACAAAGCCAGTTTCAACAAGACGACGATGAATATTAGAAAAGGTTCGACTATCTGGCAAAGCACGATCGGGATATCTCTGGTGATGAATCCGTCTGGTTTGCTCACCATTACCGTCGGCAAGGCCATATACGTAATGCATTTCCGCCATTTCTGCATTTGAATAATTCACCATTATTAACAAGATTGTAAAAACTAAATCATGAAAAAGATGTCAAAACGAACAGATTTGAATAACAGATATTTGTTAGACGTCAAAAGCCAGTGACATATTCCAGAGCAACTAGATATTTATTGCAAAATTGCATTCTTCAAGTATCACATTAATTTTCTCGGACAATAGAACGGTTTTTATAAAGAAAACAATCCATGAAAGAGAATTTGTCACAAATTGAAGGGGAAATTCAAAAATTAATGTTTATTTGTCAAAACACCATTGGCGTACCATTTTTTTCTTAAATAATGTCGAAGTCAATACCCGTACGCATGCCACTGTTAAAGCTAAAAATTATTTTTGCATTGAAAAATATGCAACTTTATTAACCATCACTACGTACTAAATATCAGTGAAATATCTGAAGCGGTTCTGATTAATTTCCATTTTTTCCTAAAACACCCCGAGTTTTTGTAAGGCAACATGTTATGGACCATAGTTTAAAGCAAACTAACATTAATTTTTCATTTAGACTCACACCCTTAAATATATATATATATATATATATATATATACTCGTATATATATATATATATAAGTCGAACAGTAATATGTGACACGTGAAGCGCGTGCGCTCCACTGTGGCGTGGCAGAGATACCTAAGCTACTATTGACACTTGGGAATAATTGACCCTCAGAAAATGCAGAGCCATTGAGACCAGGGGTCCATTGTAGGAAAGGGTCCGGGTCCGTTTTAGGAAACGGGACCGGGTCCGGTTATTTTCCTCTGGAAATAAGAAAATATAAGTCACTTGGTAGAAGGGATTATTAGGTAATATTGTACTCATTAAAACTTCCATCTTTCAATAACTCTAAAGCATCCCGAAATTTCAGCCTTCTCCTCATTTCAATTTTCTTGTGGCATATATTTAACTAAGTTGAAAATTCGACATGCTCTTAAGCGCTTTGTACCTAATGTTCAATCTACAACCACAAACTTGTTTCGCCAAGTTAACGAAAATGATGGAATACCTTAGGAGTGGCATCGGTCGAGTTTAACAAATTTTAAATACGAAGCTTGAAAGCTTCAATTAAACTTCGTAAGTAATTTTGGGCAACAAAAAGTTTAAATAGAGGCATTATTCTCAGCCTAATCCCGCAGATCGTATTAAATTTGAGAATCGCCCCTGGATTAGACCGAATACGGGGATAACTTTTACCTCAGGATCAATAGCACCTGTAGAGAGAAGCAATCATGTTAAACTTCTGCTCTTTAGTCGAAATGAAGTTTGGGGGTATCTAGAAGTTTGCAATAGGGATAAACCAACAGCGTAGGTAACGGGGTTCCCGCTGGAGCAAAACAGCTTACTTGGCATTAAGCAACTCGAACCTAGAATGTTCAGAGTAACAGTACAGTACAAGTACAACAGAATTCTTGATGTCAATTTCGACACTCTAGGAACAAAGGAGCGATCATACAGGACAGTTTCTGGTGTACGAAGTTGAGATGGGAGGCAGAAGCTTGGCGGGTCCATCTGGTAGGCTTAACGCAAGGCTCGTTGGTAGAAGAGAGCAAGATTGACGACCGCCCTTCGGTACGAATGGGTCCCGATACTATTACAGAAGCATCATCCAACGGTCAGTCGCCTCTTTTAACATAAATAAAATAAATAAAGAATGTTTATTTCCATTAGACTACACGTTAGTATAGAAGTATAGTCAAAAAATAGACATACAGTATATGAAACAAACAAGATAAAATTACACCGTAGGTACAAACTGTAATAGTCAATTCACATTAAAAAATCATGATTGAAATATTTCTCTACTGAGTAAAAAGGGTTTTCTAAAAATAATTCTTTTAAAACATTTATAAATACCGCCACCCTATTTATTTCTTTTACATGGTCATGCAGTTTGTTGTAGAACTTAACGAGCATCAATTTTGGAGTGAGGGTAAGCCTATGTGGTGGAATTTACAAATTGAGGTTATACATAGTGATGTAAGTACCTTTCTGAACAAAATTATTATTTTTCTTCACATCGTTGTATATGGGCGGCAGCATTCCAAACATGTCAACATTGCACAAGTTTGAGTTTTATCTAGCGGGTTAAGCGGAAAAAAGTAGTTCTTAACAAACAATCTAGCTGTATTTCCAGCAAATGTTGCGATTGACGAGATTTGTTCGTTCCAAATTAAGTCCTCGGTTATCTGGACTCCGACCAGCCGAAATGAATGACTCTTTGGAAAACTCGGACATCGATGCAAACCGGATGAGCGCTAAGGGCGCTTCTTGTTAGTCAAGGCACTGTACTATGTTTTGGAAGCATTCAACTGTCCAAGCAGTGATAACTTCCAGATTTCACGTCAGAGAGGGAGTCGTTACCACTCTCCTTCTCGCCAGCAGAGAGCGGCCGTAGAGGAACCTAGCCACCCATCTGCAATGCTGCTCTGGGAAGCCGTAGGATGAAAGCTTGTCCTAGAATAAGATGTCAATCTTTCGGATACTTATAAAAATGATGCTACAAGTTCATAGAAAATATCTGGTACGCCGCCGTAGAACAACAGACCGTGAAGATCGCCGCCTAAGATTATTGGCCTTAAGGGACCGTTTCTCCACTACCAGGTCCATTGCAAATTAATGGTTTGCAGAACACGGAAGACCTATTGGCATGCGAAGTGTTTACCGACGAATGAGAAGTTTTGGCTTGTTTTCATACCGGCCACACTGGGTCCTCCCTTTAACTCGAGAACACCGACGTAATCGCCTTGAGTGGTGCAGACAACGGTCACTCTGGGATCAGGAATGGAACAGTATTGTCTTTAGTGACGAGTCTCGATTTTGTTTAGGCATGCACGATGGTCGTGCCAGGGTTAGAAGGCGACGTGGTGAAAGGAGGAATCCACAGTTTTTTGTTGAAAGACATGTTCATCACACTGTTGGAGTTATGGTTTGGGGTGCTATAGCTTATGGTTCCAGGTCACCTTTAATCTTCATCAGAGGTAACATGAACGCGCAGCGTTATATCCACGAAGTTCTAGAACCCCATCTTTTACCATATCTTGACACCCTGGCAGATCCAACTTTCCAACAAGATAATGCCCGACCACATGTTGCAAGAGTCACAATAGACTTCTTTAAACATAATGATGTCACATTGTTACCATGGCCACCAAGATCTCCCGACTTATCCCCAATTGAGCACGTGTGGGATATGATGGGTAGGAGATTGCTCAATTTGCAACGTCCTCCTCAGACTCTAGAAGCACTTCGAGAGGAGTTGGTGGTTGCCTCTAATGAGATACCACAGGAGGACATTGACCACCTGATCAGAAGCATGCCTAGGCGCGTTCGAGAATGCTTAGCACATCAGGGTGCGTCCACACATTATTAAAGGTCAAAGGGCTTTAAAGCAGTGCAATCATTTTGAAATTTTTATCATTTACTTATTATGCTTCATTAGGTACTTATACAAAATTTTATTAAAATAAAACCATTTAAACTGGGTGTTCGGATTTATATGTCACTTAGTATATGTATAAATCACCTGACATCTGATAAAGAAAATATATGACGGGAAAAAAGTTTTAAATTTTATCTTTGTTGACAGGTAACAAAATGTCACTTTTTATGAAGTTACTTTTTTCACCGGGAAAAAAAATTAGTACTTTTTTCCTGGATATTGTATAAACACATAAGCAAACGTAGATATGTAATTTTAGAATATTTTGTTATAAAATAAAGTTACATTTCCTTTATATCGAAGGTATATCTATTGCGTGGATGACTGGTTCTTTAAACTATTCGGTGCAACAGCCGAATTTTCTTGAATTGAAATTATATGTTTTTCTGCCATCACAACTCCCGTTGATGTACTTGGTCGCACATCCGGTGTTATTTCCGCAGTACCACACGTTCTAAACACCTTATGAGCTATTTCTGTCCTGTGTGCTACCGACTCATTAACATACCCTTTTGCGACCGTCGATGACTTCCAATCACCATGTTTCTCTAGTGTCATCAAGTCTTCCACAGATTCAACTAAAAGTGTAGCAGACGATCTTCGGAACGAATGAGCTGTGTATGAGTTAGCATTTTCAAGTTGAAGAAAATTAGCCACTGTTTCGGGAACCTTATAAAACTGGTTTTTATATACAACCTGATTGGTACATTTTCCATTGTGATATGCATAAGACAGGCGGCGATCCTTTACTGCTGCTGGATGAAGGATTATGTACATTCGGTAAAATTTAATATATTTTTCAGTACCTACAAATCTCCTGTTTACATCATTCTTTGTTTCCTTAAGTTTCACAATTTTGGTAATAATGTTCCCGAATCTTGATATGTTACCTGGCTGACTTCACAAATTCGACAAGCTCCTGCAATCCCAAATACAACAACAGCCTTGGCCATTAAATAAACTTCATCGGGAGCATTATTTAAAAAATCACTAATTTGTGTACTCGTAAAAATCGTAGCTTTCTTGGGCTTGTAACCTTTCAGAAATATTTTGAAATGTCCACATTATTATTGGATCGTAACATACTTCTAATCACTAAATAATTCGACCACACTGTTGATGGCATTTGTTGTGCAAATTCCCAAAAATAAGCCAATAGCACCGTCTCCATTCCATGAATCTTGAATACCCGGTTTCGTAAATTTTCCGCGATTTAGCTGACAAAGTTTTTGTGACGCTACTTTGGTTACTTCTAATAATTCCGGTTTAGTCAAAGAAAACTCGGAATCAGACCATTTTTACTTTATAGTATTAAAAATAACTTCTAAGCAACCACTAAGCTTACAATTTTTAAATCAAACCGCAAAATTAAATTGACATCTATTAGATTACTTTAAAAGTTTCCTTAGCAACGCAGGTCTAATTGTCGCTATAAGTACAGTATAGCCTACTAATTGCAAAATTCAAATTCCACAGCGATAATTATTTTCTTTCTTCAGTATTGTAATAATACAATTTTTCAATACTGAATCGTCGTTTTTCCCGTCACAGAAAAAAATTGTGTATTATACACGGGAAGAATACTAGATTTTAGCTAAAATTTCGTACTTGTTCTCCCTTGTATAATAAATAACTATTGTGTTTATCTGTCTTTATCTGACAGTTCATTTGTTTTTTAATTTCTTCACTATTTTAAAGTGTGTTGCGACAACAGCCTGAACTGCCCTGTACAACACCGAGACCATGCGAGGACATCTTAATGGTCTTAAGATGACACCGCCTAGAACTAGCAAAGCCGATGACTACCTGGCGATGGCATACCGGTTTCCACAAGCTCCCCAAAGCGGCAAGGGACAGCTGCAGGCTTGAGTTCCACAAAAATCAGCAACATTGAGTTAGGCCAGACGGAATCTGTGACGGGCCAAGAGTGGCTGAAGGCAACCCACTCGTTCATTTAAGGGTTTTATTTGCTAATAAAGAAAAGGCCGAATTCATTCCACCCTGTCAAAGGAAAACTCTTTTTAAATTCAATAACAGACAAAATTGATATGATAAATTCATATAATACAGGCGTTAGAGCGCAACATTACAAAGTAATCTCATCTGCTTATCGAATCACCATCAGAGCTATTTTACCACTCAAAATAATGCGTCAGTTTAAATAGTGATTTCAAGCCTGCGATGATTTTAAGGGAGACCCACATACCCTTCAGCCACAGCGGCACCCCCGCAAGAACGAATAACAGCTAGATATACTGTCTGCAACCTTGAAGTGCCTCTGGTGCAAGCCAAGCCAACGCCCTTCAGCTTGACCAGGCCGCGACAGGAACTCAATTTGGCTGAAATGCGAGATTCTAATTAGGATCGCATTGGGACTAAATAAGCACATCTCTTAGGTAATGAATGAATGAAAACACGAAATTAAAGGCATACCGGGCACCATAAGGAGCCAGCGCATAGGTCACTCAGACGGGCCCTTGTGCACCTCCACATTTCTTAGACCTCAAGCCTCGCTATTCTAGCGAAGTTGAGTACGGACTTGAGTCCAAGCTCCTTAATGTCCTAAGGGTTCAAAGTGATGGACCCCAGTATAGTCTGACTGTAGTAGCTAAAAGCCTCGCAGCGACACAGAACGTGCGCCGAGGTCTCTTCTTCTACCCCGCAGCGCTCACACAAGGGATCTTCAGCCATCCCCATCACGTGCAGCTGGCGCCTTAATGTGTTATGGCCAGACAACAGCCCTACCAGCAACCTTAGGTTTGATCAATCCAAAGATAAGCAGAAGCGTCCATTTTAGCGTTGGGCCCTGCAATGAGTTCCCGTGCCTGACGTAGATGTCTGGAGATGCTTCTCCATTTTTGATAGTGTTGCCTTGCAATCCACTTCTCCGTTTTCCTCCTAACTCTTAGCGCGGGCATCAATAGAGCTAGCTCAGGACCAACGAGCTTGCTGGCTGATCCTGTCTTCGCCAGAGCATCCGCCGTCTCATTGCCCTTTATCCCAGCGTGACCCGGTACCCACACTAAGGATACCAGGCGCCATGTTGCTAGAGAATCCAGAGCCTCCCTGCATTGCAATACAAGGCTCGAAGTAATCTTACTGGCGGCACTTAGTGCCTTCATTGCAGCCTGGCTGTCGGAGAAGATCGTTATCCTTCTCCTAGTGATACACAAGCCAGAATCGTAACGATTTCCCCTTGGAAAATCGCGGTGTATCCACCAAGAGGCAGAGATAGACTAGTCCTAGGCCCCGAGACCCCGGCGCCAGAGCCCTCTTTTCCCTCTTAGGTAAAGAAAGATAGTCAACTCGTTTAGCACCCTCCCTCCAACATGTTGACCTTGGAGATTTTGGCTGAACACCTATGCAGTATTCGTGAGTAAATACAGGGTGGCCAATATACAACTGACTGATTTAAATTGGGCGCCATTTCTGATACACGCATTTCAGTAGGTGGCGCCGTAGTAGTTGTTTAAGCACATGCGTCCAATTCATTATGGAGCGCTACACGATCACACAACGCGTCCGCATTGTTAAAGCGTTTTACTTAAATAATTAGCCAATTGTTGCAACGATTCGGAAGCTACAAGGAGATTTCGGTCAAAGTAATGTGTCCAGTGCCAACACCATTCGTCAGTTGGTGCGGAAATTTGAACAAACAGGTGAAGTTAAAGACTTGCCAAGGTCGGGCCGTGTTCGACCTGTTTGTACTCGGGAAAATATCGAGAGAGTTCGTGAAAGTGTAGTGGCGCGCCCTGACACGTCTACGAGACATCGTTCTCAAGAACTGGTTATTCGTGGCATGTCATTATGCACTATTTTGAAAAAAGACTGGCATTTGCGGCCATACAAAATTAAGCCTAGTGACTACGAAAGTCGCCGAGAATAGTCATGCCATATTGCAGTTTAATACCCAAAATAACAATTTGTACAGACAGCTGATAATGAGCGATGAAGCTCGCTTCGATATGAACGGATTTGTTAATAGACAGAATTGTCATATCTGGACACGAGAGAACCCTCGTGCCATCCATCAACGACCACTACATCCTCGTGGAGACACAATTTGGTGCGGTGTTTGGTATGGAAGTGTCATTGGACCTTACATCTTTGAAGAAGACTTCCTCCATGATTAATTTTTTATCTTTTTTAAATGTTTATCAATACAATAATGTACTTAAAAATCATAACAAAAAGCTAGATTTAGTTATAAGTAATTTTGACTGTACTGTTCAGAAAGACTGCACTCCTTTAGTTGATGAAGACCATCATCATCTAGCCCTATCTGTAACGCTTAATAAGATCTTTCCCAAACATGAATCTGTCAATTCAGTTATGCAACATAAACAATACAATTTCAAAAAAGCTGACTTCGTTGCATTGTATCAGGATTTGCTGTTTATTGATTGGTCATTTTTGGAAAATATTGGTGATAGTAACCAAGCGGTTGACAGACTCTATGGTAAGATATACGAATTACTTGTTATACATGTTCCAGTCTATAAAAAGTTTAGGCATAGATATCCTGTTTGGTATACAGCTGAAATTGTTCTTCTAGTTAAGGAAAAGGCTGAGTTGCATGAGAAATTTAAATTTTCACGCAATGCTGATGTTTATGAAAATTTTAGAAGGCTAAGAGTAACTGTTAAGCAGAAAATAAAAGAAGCTTATGATCAGTACCTAAACAAAATTCAAAATCAGTTAAAACATGATCCGAAATCATTTTGGGCGTTCATGCATCAAAAAAATAATACTTCTAGGATTCCTGGACAAATGTCAGATGGAAATGAAATGTTAAACGATCCTAAACATACCAGTAATGCTCTCGCTAAGTTTTTTGAGAGTGTTTACTCTGTACCTGATATTACTGATGAACAACTTAGTTTTGACTTTCAAGGATGCGATCTTTTGGATATTACCTGCGTAGCGATATCTGAGCGCGAAATTCTAAAAGTTGGACGAAAATTAAAAAACAAGTTCACTTCTGAGCCAGATCAAATTCCATCTTTCTTTCTTAAAGACTGCAAAGCAGTACTAGCAACGCCACTTAAAGTATTGTTTAATTTGATCCTGAATACTTCCGTTTTTCCTGACAAGTTTAAAATTGCTAAAATATGTTCTATATTCAAAAGTCAAGCTTCCAATATCATCACTAACTACAGGGGAATATCCGTTTTGAACAATTTTGCTAAGCTTCTTGACATGATTTTATATGATCGTATCTACCAGTCTGCAAAAATTGCATTTCTATTTATCAACACTGTTTCACGAAGTTTCGGTCAACTATTAGCAACTTAGCGGTTTTTAGCCAGTTTTTATGTGAAACAGTTGACAGCAGGGGTCAAGTTGATGTAATGTATGCCGACTTTTCCAAAGCTTTTTAGAAGATCAGTCATGAGATTCTCCTCAAGAAGCTTTCTTATCTAGGTTTACAAAATAACTATGTCTTGTTATTAAAATCATATTTATCTAATAGACAACAATACGTATGTGTAAATAATGTGAGATCGGAAGTATTCACTGCCACTAGCGGTGTGCCGCAGGGATCCAATTTGGGACCTCTTCTATTCTCACTTTATATCAATGATTTGTGAGATTCACTTAATTGCAATAAGCTATTGTTTGCGGATGATTTAAATATATATATATATATATATATATATATATATATATATATATATATATATGTATATAACTTGAGACGTGGTCATTGTCGTCTAGACCAGTTAGGTGAAAAATTAAAGCTTCCGCCTTTTGTTGGGTACTTCGACAAAATTTAA